AGATATAAGAAGAGCACCATCCCATCTATTCTTAAAAAAATAAACTGTACTGTACAGCCCTGTAAAATGTATTGAACGTATATTATTATGTCTAAATCACATGTAAGTTTGTATATTTTCAGCCACTGGCTGCAACTCTATTAACAAACCGTTTAGCACGCACGCACGCACGCACGCGATGCGCGACGCACGACGCACGCACGCACGCACACACGCATGCACACACGCACACACACACACACACACACACACTCCAACACCACCACACCCCCCCCACACACACACACCCAACACCACCACACCCCCCCCACACACACACACACACACACACACACACACACACACACACACACTTAATCAACCGTCAGTGAGACAAGACGTGCCCCGAAGACGCTCCCGGTTTTAGCAGCCAGGCCGAGTCTGTTTGGCCCTGCCACTCCCCCTGCTATATCCCAACGCCCTACCAGCCTTACTACACCGGGATCTATTCAGCAAAACATTCTAGTGATTAGTGAACGATTGATTACCGAGCAGTGTTCCTATAGTGCACTTAAGGAAACGACAAAAGCACAGCAGTGTGACTGGACCCGACCTAACCTGACCGGGACTTTCTCAGCAAAACATTCAAGTCATCAGTGCAATAAGTGATTATCATACAGTGCTCCGATAGTGCACCCCAAGGAAAAGTCAGACAGTGGGCACTTTATCGGTCACCTTTAAAGTGCCAGTGACAAGGACCACCGCGGTGTTTACATTTATCGTGAAAACTGTGTCGGCGACCCCAAGCACCAGGGACAAAGACCCACGGTCTTTACGACTGACAAATATTAACAGATGTCTACCAGTGTCAGTGGCCCTCAAAGTGCCGTCAGTGACAAACACTTCCGTCCGCGCACAACAGATATCAACAGATGGCCACCAATCACTTACTCCCGACACACTCTGTACCATCTAAAGTGTGGGAACGGTTATCCTGATGGCAGTGTTATCGAGCGACTCAAGTCACTGAACATATTCCACGCGCGTAGCCGTAGACAAGGCCGTCATACACATAAGCCCATTAGAACCGTAACCTCCACTAGAAAACCGGAGAAACCCACCCCTGACAGACAATACCACTACACTGAAGTTCCACGGATATGGTATGATCTCCCGTCTCTACTGCTATCCAACGTCACTTCCCTAGCTAACAAGTTCGACGAGCCATATGTGAGGCTTGGCAAATTGTGCCTGAAACGTGTCATATTGAGGGATATCAACTCTTTCATCACCTTCGTTCACATAGACGCGGAGGGGGCGTTGCCCTCTTCTGTCAAGACGACCTACGCCCGTCACGCCTGGATGTTCAAGTCCCAGCAGATGTGGAAGCATTATGGGTACGTGTTGTGCCACCAGCCCACCCGCGCCACAGTGCTTCCAGCATAATCTGTGTGGCATACCATCCGTCTCGCTCACCCACCAGAGACACTCTTATCAATCATCTCATTACCACCTCAGACCACCTCAGAGTTAGGTACCCATGTGCCAAGTTAGTATTATGTGGGGATTTTAATGAATTTGACACCACTGATATCCAGGACCAGCTATCACTATCACAAGTTGTGACCTTCGCCACACACGGTCAAAATACCCTTGACCTTATCTTAACTGACTTAGTGGACCAGTACCAACCACCTCAACCAATGCCTCCTATCGGGTGTAGCACACACTTATCAGTGCTCTGGTCCCCGGCTGCCACTCCCACTCAAGTACAGAGACCCTACATCAAGACCTACAGGCCGATTACTGACTCTGCAGTGCGCCTCTTCGGGCAGTGGATAGTTCACCATCCCTGGACTGAACTACTTAGCGTGGATGACGTGGAAACCAAATGGATAAATTAAAACAACACCACCACGGATGCTCACCACCACTTCTTCCCCGAGAAGTCCGTCAGATCTCACCCAGCTGACTTGCCCTGGATCACACCTCGGATCAAAAGACTTATGCAACAGAGAGACAGAGCCTTTCATCTCAATGACCACATCCGCTAGAGGTCCCTTCGCAACCGAGTCATCCGCGAAATACGCACTGCAAAGAAGTCCCACTACCCAACCAAACTACAAAACCTGAAGCAGACCAACATCAGTCAATGGTATGGTAAGCTTAAAGAACTCTGTGGACTAAACAATAAGACACACCCCCTCCCCTTCCTTAACCATCTCACTAATGTGACGAGCTGAGCTGAACCATTTCGCTACTATATGCCAGACGCTCCCCACGGCTTGACACAACCACTCTCCCTGCTTACCTACCAGCCCCCCTTCCCACTGACTTAGTAGAAGAATTTGACGTAGCAAAACGCCTGGACAAACTAAAATTAAAACGCTCTACCACCCCCATTGACTTACCAATGAAACTCTTCAAGGAGTTCTCCCCGGAGCTTGCTAAACCCCCTGCTCCATCATCACGCTTCCCTAGTCACAGATGCCCAGCTGACTGGAAGACCTCTTTATGTATCACCAGTGCCCAAGTCAACCAGCCCACAATCCTTAAATCAGCTAAATTTACCTATTGCACCACCCCAATACCCAGCCTAATCTGTGAAAGTTTTGTGTTTGACTGGGCTTATGCTGATATTGCAGGAGTCGTAGACCCTCAGCAATTTGGCAACATGAAAACTTCCTCCACCACTCACTGTCTTGTCAGCTTTCTCGATTACATATACCGCCATCTCGAGAAACGAAAAACGTCTGTAGCTGTCGTCTTCATTGATTTCACTAAAGCGTTCGACCTAGTCGACCACAATATAATCATAAACAAAGCTATTGACCTCGGGCTTCGGAGAAGTCTTATACCATGGCTTACAGACTTCCTCAGTGACCTACTGCTGTACGCCTCCCTCGAGGGGCTGTCTCCACCTTTCAGTCACTCACCTGTGGCGCCCCCAAGGCACCAAGATGGGACCACTCTGCTTCCTTATGCTCATCAATGATGCCCTAAGAGAAACCCCTGCTCGCTGGAAATATGTCGACGACTCCACCATTGGGACTAGCCAACAATTCTGCTCCCAACTATACCCCGCCTCTTCAGGATTTAATGAACAGCTCCAAACTGGGCCACCAACAACCATGTCACCATCAACCATACCAAGACCATGGTTATGCACATCAACCTCTCCCACATTGTCCCACCTCCTTCCATTACCCTAGGTCCCAACACACTCCAGGTTGTAGATTCCACGAAGCCTCGCGTCACCATATAGACAACAAACTAAATTAGAAACCACACGTCAGTGAAGTTATCAAATCCTCCAGTTTCCGTCTCCACCTCCTACGCCGACTCAAGTCCCTCGGTGGTCCTGCACACGAGCTCCTCAGTGTTTACACAACATTCATACTTCCCAAGCTCACCTATGCCTCCTCCACCTGGTCTTCCTCCCCAAATGCCACACAACGTAAACACCTCGAAAAAGTGCAAAAGAGGGCATGCAAGATTATTCTCTCCCCTTCCTACTCCACATATCAAGAAGCGCCAACACACTGGACCCTTCGACTCTCACTGACCATCACCACGCCTCATCTGCAAATTTGTAAAGAAGCCGCCACCATCCCCATTAATCGCCCCTACTACCACCTGAGATCCCCTGTCCGAGAATTGCTGTGCGACACCACAACCGCATCCAGCCCATACGTGCACGAACTGATCGCTATAAGAACAGCCCAGTCCCAACCATTGTAAAAATTATCAATAACATGTAATAAATCAGTGTATTCACTCCCAGTAAACACTGCTCCCTACACTGTCACTATGTTGAAATGAACTGTATTTTGAGCTGATCCCCATCTAAGTTACTATATGTCTTATTTGTGTCACTTATGTCACTTGTATATTATTTGTAATTGTAAACTCCATTCCCCAAATATGTAACTGTATATTTTCAGCCTTCTGGCTGCTAAGCTCTTTCAATAAACCGTTAATTATTATTACATATTATCACACACACACACACACACACACACAAACACCACCCCCCACACACACTCCAACACCACCCCCCACACACACTCCAACACCACCCCCACACACACACTCCAACACCACCCCCACACACACTCCAACACCACCCCCACACACACTCCAACACCACCCCCCACACACACCCAACACCACCCCCACACACACTCCAACACCACACCCACACACACACACTCCAACACCACCCCCACACACACACAGGAGCGACTCCCAGGGGCCTAGATTTTGGGCTGGCCCCTGGGTTGGCCCCCCCACTTTTTATTCTCAAAATTGTACCGTGTGAACAGAAACCGCACCATTGCCATTGGGTATAATGTAACAGGTGCATGCGGTGCCCATGTCTGAAAACGTAAACGTTGTCTCCATAATCTCCATTATGAGTGAAGCGTGAGATCATTCATTTTTTCGCTGATGTATGTACATACATTGTAAAGACACTGCTATATTTTTCAATATTTGTTATGTGGTACATCCGCCCTTTATGTGACTATGTGAGCAATAATACAGTTTTAGAGATATTTTCAAGTGTGTCAATACTCCAATGAATCATGATTAGTGGAATAAGAGCGTTGCCATTATACCGCCATATGCTGATTATTTTAGGCTGGCGTCATTTGTCAATCAAATTGGTGAAATAATGCCAAAAACTGCATCTTGCAAGTTGTACACATTTACCATGGCCCCCCTACTTTCCGAAGGCTAGAAACGCCACTGCACACACACGTAAAAGAAATAATTGTCCTAAGGGTAAATACATAAAGGGAATATACATTTTTTGGCACACAAGTAAAAATATAACGGAGAAGGGGAGATGGGGATGGGGAGTCAACAAATGATATTCGTAGTTTTGTCAATTCACAGCCATTTTTAGACCCAAACCCCTGTGAATTTTAAGCGCATGCTGTACTTTCATATACTGTACTGTACTGTACATGCAATAGTGTGAGGCGTTTTCAACGTTAAAAAATGACAATTAATCTTACCTTGCAAAAATATTCTTCTGATATGTACATGGCTTTCTGAGGAGCTCCAGCACATTTAACTGGTGTTGCAGGAAAGGTAAAGATAGCATTACCTGCCTTGAAGTTCTCAAGGCTTTGTAAGGTCTTGTTCACATACTTTGGAGAATAGTTGGAACACACACCTGGTGTTTCAAATGCATCTGGCAGTCCTTTTATCTGGTCAAATAGAAAACATTGTTAGAAATGTAAAGTGTCTTGCTTTACATTAATAAAATGCAGGAGGTATGTGCAAACATTCCATACATCTCTCTACCCATCTATTGATATTGTGCATGTCTCTTTCTATGAAGAAGGAATGGTTGTGTGTAAAGCTTCAGCATAGAAAATTGTGTACATCCAGTAAACTATCCGTTAGCTGGAATTCTTCAATACCCAGAAATGATTGCTTGGCCGATTGAGGTACGCTAATAACCTCCCTGTCGGCGCAACAGCTTAGGTCATACAGAGGCATGGTAGGTGACACAGAGGTATGGTAGGTGACACAGAGGCATGGTAGGTGACACAGAGGTATGGTAGGTGACACAGAGGTCTGGTAGGTGACACAGAGGCATGCTAGGTGACATAGAAGCATGGTAGATGACACAGAAGTATGGTGGGTAATGCAGGTTGCCAGATATGGCGAGATTTTCCCATATCATTTTATTTATCTCGGCATTTCCTGAGTTATACTATACGTAATACATTCCAAGACCATATCCATGCCGAGCTATATGAAATTCGGAGTTATCAAAGGTTTACAATACAGTAGGTTCTCAAATTTTTATTTGGACACAAAAAAAAAACTACACAATTTTTCGACGGCAGAAACTTAAATTTCAAAGGGTTTGAGCGGCCCGCCAATGTTCAGATGTGCACAATCGTGTAAACAGTGTAATTTCTCTTATGTACAAAAGATTCATTATTGTTTATTACTGAATGTCTTTTTGATTGAATTTATGTTTATGTGTGCATAAAAAGAACAATACAATTCATTAATAATATGTAGAATATTAAAACACATGAAGAGATGAGACGGCATTGTTTTCATTAATGTTTACAAAACTAGTGACTGATTGGTTCTACATATAAAACTGAAGAAAACAAGACCCTCGTTGTAGCTGTAGTAAAATTAATATAAAAAAATAATATGGTTGTTTTAAGTAATGTTATTTAATGTTAATAAATGGAACAATGGAAGTTGCTAACCATTAATGGTAAAGAAAAAAGTGAGACTGCGCGTATGTAAGTGCGCACATGTGAAAACATATCGTCAGTATTCTACAAAAGAATATGAAAGCAACACTTATTTACTGTTCATATATATTTTAATTAATGTTTCTGAATTTAAAGCAAATATTCTACCCACCAGTGGTGGTAAAGTTGAAAACATAAGGACAGCCAATGTTGTTGTGTGTGTTTTTCCTCTGATGATGAAGTTGCCAAGTCATCAGGTTCTACTCTAGCTGAAGGCATAGAACATAAAAACTTTTTCTGTGTTGATTTTAGTTTTTATTGAACTTTATCTGTGTTATTTTCGTTGATTTATTCCAGGTAGCAATTCGCCCAAAAAGTAGGGTAAATAAAGCAACATTTAGCCAAACATCGAAAGTACCAGACTCATATTAATTTTCTCCATAGGAAGTTGTATTTAAATTTGCACGATTTGAATTTCGCGAGGTTTTTACAGTCTAAATAGGTGTCCAAATATGAGAGCCTACTGTATAGCGCTACTGGTGTCAGACACATGAATAAATGAATTCAGATGCTTTCAGATTGTTAGACTAAATTAGAAATTTTACCAAAGGGGACAGAGTTAAGATACCTGGAAGATTCAAATACAGTGATATCCCCGTTAGCCGGAACAATTGGTGTAGAGCAATTCTGGGGATGAGAGATTTCCGAGTAACCAGACGACTTTCTCAAACCCGGAAAAATCCCCCATCCCCGGAAATATTTCCGGTTACTGGAAAAACTTTCCTAGTGTCTAAACTATGCATCTTGCACAGACAAACATTAGCCCACATCCTCATAATGTTTCTGTGTGCTGGAGAGTTTTCCAAGAGTCTAAACCAAAAATCTATATAATGTGGTCATGAATGAAGCTGTGTGTTACAGGAAGGACAGATATTTTCCACTCCCTTGGAGCTGTGGGGGTTTAGTGGATCTCATGTAAGTGACCTGACCTGACACAATGTCAGGTGGAGGTAGGGTGGGGTATTGGCAGGGCCGGATTTACCAATAGGTCAAGTAGGCCATTGGCCTAGGGCCCACCGGTATCTGGGGGCCCATTGAAACTAATTTGTCGCGCAGCGTGCCAGCGTATAACCTTGTTTCAAGTATACAGCGAGTATTTCATTATATAATATATTCACAACCATAAGGGCCCCTGTACAATAAGTATAGGGCCCGGAGTATGGGGCCCCTGTACAATAAGTATAGGCCCTCAGTGGTCTTCAACTGGTGGGCCATGGGGTGGTTCTCAGGTGGGCCACGGACTCGGCCCTATAGTAAAATGAAGAAAATAAGATAAAATAAGATAATAAAAAAAATATATATACATTTTTTAAATGTCCGTGTCCCACCATCAATCTATCTATCTATCTATTTATCTATCTATCTATACATACATATATACTGGAGAGAGAGAGAGAGAGAGAGAGTAAAGTTCAAGAAACCTTCAGCGCCTTGACGTGTGAAGGACAGGATCGTTTCACGTTCAGTACGTGTCAGGGTTACCGTTGGTTTGCTGACAGCTTGCTCAGCCAGTCAGTATCCTCTCCGCCTCAGCTCAGTGATATTTTATATTGTGTACGAGGCACTCATTATTTACTAATGATATATTACATGATGCATTAAATAGACTTCAGTGTTATATTACGTGTGTTTCTGTGTCTATTTTTTGTGATATTGGTATCTCTTATAGACTTACACTATTTTTTTGATTACAGATTATTCTTGGGGATTCTCATGAGGTAAATATGTCATCCCTGAAAAAATATCTGAGTGGCTCACAAAAGAGAAAGTTAGAAGCAGCCAAAGCTGCACAACTGTAATCAGTTCCAAAGCTGACAACATTTTTTAAACCAAAAGGAGATTCAGAGCCAAGTACCAGTGACAGTAAACTCCCAGGGGATGACACAGAAGATGTTCACTTTCATGATTCAGATGACGAAGCGAGGTCAGCTGAGTCACAGTCACAGAGATTAAGTAAATCAGCACCTACAGCAATGGAAGTACCACCTGTGACTGAAGCTTCATCCGACTCATCTCAGTTGACTTATAAGAAACATTCTGTGGAACAAGGTGTCAGCGTTGATTTGTGTGTATCAAGTGATCCAGCTGACTGGCTGACAATTGATGATAAACTGATTGAGTATTGACTAAACCATCCTCTTGATCTAAATTGTGAAGAAGGTGACTTCTCAAGATCCGCAAGAAGTGAAAATGTGGGTGAAAAGGAAAGATATGTGCCCAAATCCTCGTTTACACGTCAAATGGCAAATGATGAAAAAGTTAAAAGGGAATGGCTTGTGTATTCTCCAAAAACTGGAGATGTATTTTGTGTTCCATGCAAGCTATTCAGCAAGCAAGTCTCATTCTTTACTAGTGGGTTAGGGACTAGAAAAACTGCCAGCGTAAAGTTGCTGAACATGAAAGTAGCAAAGAGCATAAAATCTCAGTTACTACTTGGGGTGTGAGGGCAAGTACAGCAAGGTGAATTGATTCCAATTTGGCTTTGAAAGTAGAATTGGAGAGAAAATACTGGAAAGAAGTTCTATTGCGCATAGTTGAAACACTAAAATTTTTAACATCAAGAGGTCTTCCTCTCAGAGGTAGTGATGAAAGAATAGGCTCTAGTAACAATGGGAATTACCTTGGAGTACTGGAACTCCTGGCAAAATTTGACCCTTATCTTGCACAGCATCTGGAGAAGTATGGTGCTGTAGGTAGTGGAAAGACTTCATATCTCTCAAAAACGATTTGTGAGGAAATGGTCAATCTGATGGCTGAAGAAATTCACTCAATTATCATAAGTGAACTGAAACAAGCCAAATATTATTCAGTTAGTATAGATTCCACACCGGATGTTAGTCATACTGACCAACTTACATTCATAGTTCGTTTTGTCAAACCTGATGGCAAACCTGTTGAGCGATTTCTAAAGTTCATAGACATACATGACCATGGTGCAGAGAGCATAGCCTCAACTGTTGTACAGTTAATTAAAGATGTTGGTCTTGATTTGAGTGACATGAGAGAGCAGAGTTATGACAATGCTGCCAATATGTCAGGCATTCACACTGGTCTCCAAGCCAGAATAAAGGCGATGAATCCCCTGGTATATTATGTCCCTTGTGCAGGTCACTCCTTGAACCTTGTTGGAACATCAGCTGCCAGCAGTTGCCTTGGGTCTGTTTCATATTCCAGATTTTTGCAAGCCTTATACAACTTCTTCTCAACCTCCACATATAGATGGGATCACTTGAAAGCTGCACTACCTGCTGAAGGGATTGTAGTGAAATCCCTTTCATAAACTCGCTGGAGTGCGAGGGCTGATGCTGTTAAAGCAGTGTTTTTACATTACCTTGAGATAAAGTCAGCACTGGAGAACATATGTTCTGACAGTAGACAAACTGTGGCTACAAAGCTTGAAGGTGAAGGCTTCATAAGACAAATGGAAGCATTTGAAACAGCACTTCTTACTGTAATATGGTATAAAATCTTAACAAGGTTTAATGCAACCAGCTTATCACTTCAAAAAGTTGAGACCGACCTTCTGTCAGTTGTGAAACTGTATGAGAGTTTGATCTCCTTCGTCTCAGAAATGAGACAGGGTCAGTTTGATGAAATAGAAGATCAGACTAGGGCTTTTGCTGAGCCTGTCTACACAGAGACAACAAAAAGAACAAAAAAGAGAAAACATTTCTTTGATGAATCAGTTGGCACTGAAACTCAACTTGATCCACGTGAGAAGTTCAAGGTGGACAATTTCTACACCATATTAGATTGCCTTAGGAATGAATTAGAGCACAGAGTGAATGCCTACTCAGAAATAAAGAAGCTGTTTAGCTTCTTAACGGAGTATGACAGTATGAAATATGATGATCTCAAAGCCCAACTGGAATTGGTTGTCAGTACCTATTCCAGTGACCTGGAAGCATCTGTTCTAGATGAGT